TATATTTTATTTCAGTGTTTTAATTTACAACATTTATTAAAAGTGTTTGTATAATAGTAATTTCCTTTTACTAATTAATTAATCAACAGAATTATAACAAAAAATTAAAACATACAAGCACATTTATTCTATTTCAATAAGCAGGTTGTTTATTAATCAAACAATTATTAAATAGTAATTCTCATTTGATACTGTCAATAATGTTTTAATTTTGTTTAAAGAAAAAGAAAAATGGTCCCGGCGGGGATCGAACCCGCGACCCTCGCATTTCTCTTTTCTATAAGTACGATGCACTACCGACTGTGCTACGGGGCCTTCTTGCTTTTTGTTTCATTCTTTCTTGATTTGTTCTTACTTTATTTTTAAATTGAAATTTGATTATGACAACCAATTGAAATAACAACATTACTTCTTTCATGTAAATTAAAAACAAACAAATTCAAAAAAAAAATCATGTTTAGTAAACATTCATCATTGTGTCTTTGTTTTTATTTCAATTATAACAATCCACCCATTCATTTAGGTGTGATTTGACTTACTCTTGTTTTTACAATGTGCATTTTCAATTCCTTTAAATTGAAATGGGTTGTTTGTAGTAATATAACAAATAATGCACTTCATAAAGTGTTTTATTTGAATGACCAAATGATAAAGAATATGACTTAGAAATGATTACACTAAATAATCTAAAAGTACTAATACAAAAACAACAACATTAGAAATGTCTGGTTCTGTACTTGTCTTTATCAAGAATATCTATTTTTTTAATATGATTCTTTAATTCTTTTAAATATTCAATTATTAAGAAAAATATGAATATATATACTATTTTTATAAGACATGTAAAAAGAGTAATTTCAATGTAATACTAATTTCTTGATTTGGTTTAATACCTTTAAAAGAGTCAAATCTATCTATCAGTTTTTAATTTTGGTTTTATTAAACTTCTCAAATAAAAAATTACAGTAGTTTGTTTTTTAAATTGGTGTTATAGAAAGATGTATTGTTGTGTTATAGACTTTATAATACTTGTATAATTGAAATAAACTCTAGAAATGAAGTAAAGGTTGATGAAGAAAATAAAATAACCATTTCTTATGAATGTCGGTTTTACTATAACGTATTTGACAAAGATTAACACTTGTTACTGAAACGTTTTAGAAATCTTACAAATATAAAACAAATAACTAGTAATATTAAGAAGTATAAATTACAAAATGAATAAATTACAATGAGATTATGTTTTGAAGATGATTCTTTATTAAATGTAAATGAAGTAAATAAAAAAATTAAAAAAAATCAATACCAATCACTTATCTCTTACCTCCTTTCTTATGATTACCACCATTTTTTTGTTTTCTCATTTCTGTTTTCTTCTTTCCAAACATAACTTTACCATTAGTAATTTTCTTATCATCTAATTTATTAAATCTTCCTTGTTTGGCAAGTGCTTTATCTCTGAAACGTGCTTTCTTCTTTTCTTTTTTAGCTTTAAGTCGTTGAATAGCATCTTCTCTTCTTTTTTGTTTTTTCATTTTATTTTCTTCTTTTTGCATTTCAAGGTTCTTCTTTCGTTGTTCAACTGCTTCAATTTTCTTTTGAATCTTCATCAATTCAGGTCTTATTCGTTCCATATGTTCATCTGATTTAAGCATTTCTGCATAATAATCAACTGGTCGTTTATGTGGATATTTGTTAGCATTGAAATACTTTCTTGCTTGTATAACTGATTTAATTGCTTGTTGATAAAAAACTAACTCACGTTCATAGTCATTATCGATATTTTGTACTTCAGTAACATCTTCATTTGTTAATCGTAAATTTTTTTCAAATTCTTCAGGAGTTTTACCATCTTCAGTAACTATTTCTTTACACATTTGATTTAACGCTTGGACCATTTCTGGAGTATTTTCCAATTTGACAACTTCAACTTCGGTCATACAATATGATAATCTAATTCTTGTTTTTTTTTCTTTTTTAAACCCTTTTTTCTTTTTTCTTTTCTTGTTTTATACAACAAAATATTTATAACAATAGGAATATTCCTGATAATTCATTGTAAATAAAAAACAATATGAATTTAATCTAATAAAGATTCTAGTAATAACTAAAACTGTCAGCCTCAAGACAAATGAATATATTACTGATTATTTTTCTTTTTCAATGTTATGGATTATATGACTTTCTTGATAACATTTTTTATATTTACAAAACTCGTTTTGAAGTTTGTTCAATCTTCTATACTTAGAAATTTCTTCACTTATTATGTAGAACAGAAATAAAACTAGAGCTAGTTGTTCCTCTTCATGTGTATTTGACATTCATGGATTTTATCAAACTGAAGAATACCAACCATTTCCATTATCATATCTAGGAGGACCTTATCCATTACAACATCCATATTATTGTGGAATATCATGTTATTTGAAAAGTTATAATTCACCAATGGTACATTATTCTAGTTATCCAACACAATATGATAATGATGATATTTGTTGGTCTAAAGAACTTCCCAATTACTTTTTAAGGATTTATCCAAAACCATTATTCATTTCAATTCATCATTCAAACACAGCAATATTTTATCCTGGGTTTCAAACAATACAATATTATAATCCACAAGACTTTGAATATTCTAGAGGAATTGAATTTGGTAAATCCACATTCTTTATATTTTATGATGTCTCAAGTTCTAATAGGAATTTTAAAGAAAAGCGAAATGGAGTATCACTTCTTATTAATTCTATCAGTCCACTACAACAAGTTCGTTTA